TAATACCAACATGAGGGAATAAAATCTTGTTCATGTTCATCGCGATCTCTGGAAATTGAAGTTAATGTTGATTTCAGCGCTGTCGGATAACAATAATGTACTCATTGCACAGGAGGTCGCTTCTCATCTCTGCACACGTCACTGGCTAATCAAGAAGTTCGACAACACCGGTCTCTGGCTCCACGAAGCACGTCCTCGCGCTTAGTGCAGTTGCGCTCACACCTCTTAAATTGATGAAAGCAAATTGCATTGTTAATGTTATCAGTCCAATTTATATACAGGCACGACACATCACGGCAATTCCCTAATCTCGGAGCGAAATTGTCTAGGGGAAAAGTACCTGTCTTAATGTAACAATCCTTGCGTATGACTCATTTACGGGAGAGCAGTACCTGACATTGAAGCAATCCAACGGAAACTTCCTTCAAGCAAATTTATGTCACCCAATTTGGACCAAATGATTTTTAGTAAAATTATAACAGCAAAGATTACAATTGTAAGGTTCAATTTCATAGGCGCCCTTGCCAAACAAACACCTTGTGCTCTAGCAGGCAAGAAGGACGATGGACGCACACATAAGCAATTATAGTTACTTAAATAGATTTAAGTGGAAGAAGAGTACCCTCAGGATGCCTGTCCGGTCTGTGCGACGAGAACCGCGCCAGAGCATCATGCGATTGTCTAGCGCCTTTATACGCTCCTACTCCCCCTCCCTCAAAAAAGGTGTCTATCACCTCCGCAGTATAGATGAAATGCGTTGGAGCGTGAGTGATTTACAGGCAGTCCGCAACCTGTTCAAACTTCTCCAGGTCCCGATGAAGGTCTGACGGTATAATCAGAAAAGAGTTGCTATTAAGACATTGACCATTAAATTGATTGAAAAGCTCAATGTACAGACCTCAATCTGATTCTTGAGTTCCTCATAATGCTCATCAAGAGGGTTGACGTCGGAGACACTAGCCTTTACAAGGAAATAGGCTACATACAGCTTCAATCATTCATCTACCATTCGAGACTTGGTTTCGCTCACCTCCAAGCTGTACAACAAGGGTAGCACCTTCAGACCAAAGTCGTGCAGAA